CTGTAGTAAGACCATTGCTATACTTTCATAATAATTAAGATTGTCATCCATATAGCATTGTCATTTCTACTGAAAAGATTTTTGATTGTCTCAGTAGGTTAAGTATTCAGAAAGCAATGCATAAAATGTGAACCAGCAGGCTTCTACTTTTATATTAACAAGTAACTAAATAAGATCATTTTATTTAAATGTGTAACACATAAGACATGCACATAGTGTATTGACAAGTCAATAGTATTTTTTGGCTATCTTTTTATATGGATTCACAATAGTTATTTAAATTTTACTCAAGTAACACATTGATATGAATTCATAAAAAACATAAAAGCACAGTTTCCTCCCTCAGTCCTTCCTAACCATAGTCCTACTTTCTAAAGGAAAGAGTTTCTGTTTTGGATTATTTTGATGGATTTATAACTGAAGAAGTAACTTCTAAATAATCATGAAAAATACCTGATTACTTTTCTACATTTTTGAGGAAATGAATTGTATTTTCTCAAAGCTCTAGAAAATTTAGAATGCTTTAGAACACATTTGAAAATATATCCTCAATAAGTTCTGAACATAGATTTTGAATATTTGAAAGTATATAATTATATTGGTCAATGCTTTTCATGCTCATCAGTATAGGCAGAAAGGCAAATCAGGATATCCATATTTATGACTGTGAAGCATGAGAATAGCGTATAAATATAAAAATCCATAAGATCAATATGTAAATGCTGTAGTGTTAATAAAAACTTTTGCTAACAGGGTTATGAGATGAAAATCATCTGTATTCTACATCCATAACTGTGCCAATAAAATTCACATGAAGGATTATTAGAGGAATTGTATTAATATTTAAAGCACTTAAAGGAGCTCCTGTCAAAGTAAGAACTAATGAGAGAGACAGAGAGATGGGGATGGGGAGAGATCAGATTAGTTTCAAAACTAGCTGATTAAATATCAAGTGTTAACTAGAGTTACTATCAGAGGAGGGGGTGGAGAATGAATCTTGTTCAACTGTTTTTTAAAAAATACATTTATACTTTAAAAAATATTATTTAATGGAGAAGTACTAGCAGTATAGAGAGTTAACATGGTGCCCAGCTAATCTTCTATAACTTATTTGGAAAGTGTCACTTAGCCTAATTCCCTTTGCCTCCACATATTCATTAACGCCATACATTTCTCTTCGTATTATTCTTTGCTTCATGTGACCTAGTTTTCTTAAGAACAGTGATTGACTGCAATTTCCTGCCAGCAAGAGGTTGTTTATTACTATTATAATTATTGTTGTATTATTTTGTTTCTCTATAGTCCTCAAAACCATGTTGAACAAAATTACTTAGTTGGTACATACTTAACAGGTATTTCCAGATTTATATCTCCCTAATAATCTAGATACTAAATTTAGTTTTTCTGGGTCATTTTTATATAACCTTAATTTGTTTTCTAAGTTTTTGCACCACAAAATGTATGGTTAGTCATCGTTTACTTGCCATTTGAAAGTACTTTATCTTCGACATGACTTCTGGCATATAAAAATATTGTGTGACATCCCTTAATCATTGTATTGTCTCTTTGTAGTTATGTAAATCACTAGACATGTAATAATTCTAATGTATCACTGAAATTTCGTGTTCACATTCTATAAAAATGAATTTTACTAATTGCCAAGCACAAAAGAAAAGATATCCAGAAGCATATTTCTGGAGATTCTCTTGACCTCTAGTAGAATGAATTTCAGAAACTGAAGACATTATTTTAGTATCAAAAATAACCTTGTGTCATTTGCCATTTAAAAATTAAGATGAGGGCGCCTGGGTGGCGCAGTCGGTTAAGCGTCCAACTTCAGCCAGGTCACGATCTCGCGGTCCGTGGGTTCAAGCCCCGCATCGAGCTCTGGGCTGATGGCTCAGAGCCTGGAGCCTGTTTCCGATTCTGTGTCTCCCTCTCTCTCTCTGCCCCTCCCCCGTTCATGCTCTGTCTCTCTCTGTCCCAAAAATAAATAAACGTTGAAAAAAAATTTTTAAAAAAATAAAAATTAAGATGAAAGTTTATCCACACTCACTTTCATAAATTGAAACATCTGTATGTTCTGTGCACAACAGGTGCCCAATAAGTATTTTGAGTGACTGTCAATAGTGACTCTTAATGACTTCATAATGAAGTCATTATTCAAGTGCCATGTTAAAACTGTGTTTCTTAGAAATTACATAGTGACAGTTTTCAGCTGACAGACACTGTTACATACATTTTGATAATCCAAAATGCATTCTATTTTAAAATACTATTTAACTGGAATAAAATTTACTAATTTAGAAACTTTCAGAAGTGTATTACAACAAACAATGAAAATAATTAAAATATGCATAGCCATGAAACAATAAAGTCTTATCAAATGTTTTCAAGTAAAAGATGACAATGAAATGAATGATTAGTTTTCAAAGTAGTGGCATCTGCTCTGTGAATATTCCAAGAAATGCTTTCCAATTTCCATGCATCAACTCCTTTATTCAAAAGAAGGAATTTCTCAAAGAGACACATGGGACCAAACAAAATGTAGGGTACTGTGAAATTGGAATTTTAAAATGCATCTCTTATTTATACCCTGATTACTTTTAAAAATTATTTTAAGCATATCAAATGGGTATACCTTCAAAATTCTTCTTCATAGGGGTGCCTGGATGGCTCAGTCTTTTAAGCATCTGACTCTTGATTTCGGCTCAGATCTTTATCTCATGGTTCATGGGCTTGAGCCCCATGTGGGACTCCGTATTGACAGTGCAGAGCCTACTTGGGATTCTCTCTCTCTCTCCCTGTCTCTCTCTGCCTGCCCCCTCAAAATAAATAAATAAACTTTAAAAATTTTTCATCATAATTTTTTGATATAAAAATCATTTTTCCTTCTTCTAGTAAAAGTCTATACCTTCAATAACCAAAAGATGCCAGGACTCCGTATTCCTTTGCTCTAGAAGAAATAACAATTCCAATATTCATGAATGTAATTTTTTGTTAATTGACAAAAAGTACTTGGCAGCATTGATGAAATAGTTTGGATCTGAATATTGAAATAGCCCTAATACATAAAATGAATATAAAGTAATTGCCCTAAATATGTATATGTGTTGGTGTAATTCTCTTTTGCCTGAGTGGCATAGTTTAAAAATGATAATTTGGAGGTTTTAAAACAGTGTGTTAGAAACACTGCTTGCATCACGAAACTGCTATTGACACACTTTGTCCGAATTCAGTTAAATAAAAATGACTGCAACTGACCATTTGAAAACAACTGTTTTTTGAATCGGATATTTAAAACTAAATGGAACTTTAAAGAATTGTGTATAACATCATAGAATTTTAAGTTAAATGAGATTATGATCATCCATAATGTTCTGATTTTCAAAGGAGGGAATGAAGGTACAGAGGAAGGGTTTAATGTGTACCATATAACTTTTTGGTGGGTATAAGAGTGACTATAATGTCACTTGTCTCACCTGCCAAATAATACTTCTTAAGCCACTGAAAACACTTTACAAATTTTGTGGTGTGTTTGTGTGGACAAAACTCAGCCATACACTATAGTGAAATGAAAGCAACATGGAATTCTTAACAAAACCAATGCTTTCAAGAAATAGTAAAAGCCATAAAAAGGATGTTTTTGTTTTTTGAGTCCTTGTTCATATTTACTTTGGAAGTAAAAGAGACATGGGAGAAAGGCTATACTCTTTTCTTTTGTGAAAATATATTTTTATTGAGGTAAAATATATATAAACATAAAATTTGCCATTTTATCTATACACTTCAGTGACATTAATTACATTGGCAATATTGTGCAACCATCACCACTGTCTTCTTTTCAAAAAGATTACATCACTGCAAACAGAATTTCTGTATCTAATATACAATCATTGTGTTCCATATGCTCTTCCCTCACCCCTGGTAAATTCTAATCTATTTTCTATCTCAATGAACTTGACTAATCTAGATATTTCATATAAGTGCAATCATACAATATTTTGCCTTTTTTTTGGCCTGGCTTATTCCACTTATGTATTTTCAAGGTTTATTCATGTTTTAACATGTATCAGAACTTCACTTATTTTTATGGGTCAATACTGTTCGTATATTATATATATATACATATATTATATATATATATATATATATATATATATATATATATATATGCTACCACAATTAGTATATATAGTTATCTATGGATGGATAGTTGAGTTGTTTCTATCTTTTGGCTATTGTCTCAACTATCTTTTATGTTTAGATAATTAATAAACTTTTAGATGCTTGCTTATTTTAGTGTGGCATCAACTTTGGTTTCTACCGTTGGTTAATCAGACATTTGAAAAAAAAAAACAATTTCAGATAGATAATTAATGGCACCAATTTTTAATGTTCATTTTTTTAATGTTCTTCTCTTCTGTATACACTTTGTTTCAAACTATTTTGCCTTGACACATTAAAATATAGTTAAAGGGAATAACCAGATTGCATAGTTGAATTTAAAAATTTTCTATTTTAAAAGCTTTCTCTTTCTTTGAACATTAATATAATCATTTAATAATGATTATATATATTTTCTCTACTGAGTTAATGAAAATATTTCTTTAAAATGGAGCACTTGTAAAGGATTATTAATATTAATGCCAAAAATGAAAGTTAAATTAATGACTACCATTTGTGGGAGAAAGTTCATTCAAATACCATCTAAGGAGAACATGGAAAAATTAAGTTCAGCTTTAACTTTCAGGCCAAACTATTTGCCTATTTGGCACAAGTTATTTTAATTATCTTCTTCCATGAAAGTTCTATTTTAAGGGGAACAAAAAAATAAAACAATTCGAAAGCACCAAAAAAAAAAAATCCTAACTTGCTATTAATTTGCTACACACAGAATCATAGATTGTATTTGTTTTTAATATTAACATATTAAATGTGTTTGGAGAAAAGGGAAAATAACTATTTTATTAAAGTATTGAATTTCAATATTTTTCCAGATGAATTCAAGTTCTTTATGAAAAGGCTACCCATGAATTATTTCCTCAACACATCTACCATAATGCATTTGTGGACAATGGATTCTAATTTTCAGCGCCGCTATGAACAACTGGAGAACAGCATGAAGCAACTGTTCCTAAAGGCGCAGAAAATTGTACACAAGCTCTTTAGCCTTAGCAAGAGGTGCCATAAACAACCCCTCATCAGCTTGCCAAGACAAAGGTAAGACATATGTGGCAATATAGACAACTAAGGACATTGTTTGGCCAGTAAACTGTATTTATTTTCTAAATGTGAATGTGGTGATATACATAATTGTGTTATAATTTGTATTATTAGAGATAATTTGAAAACAATATTTTCTCAATAAGTCCTAAAATAATAAATAGTGTTTTCCAAAGTAGTATTCCAATGGGGAACCCATATACTGATACTTCCTTGTTTTTCCTTTTCTTTTATTATCATAACCAAGAAATCTTCTGACTGTTTTGTATGGTAGTCAACTAATATCCATACTACAGTGAACAGAAAAACACAAAACCCTACAGGTATATTATAAGCATAGGATGTAAGCAGTACCACAAAGTAAAATTTCTCTATATGTAATATTCAAATAAAAGAATTTAAAGTTTATTTTCTTTGAACATTGCTCATAATAAATGAATAAGCATGAATAAACTTCAGTCTACATCAACCTCTGAAAATTGCTGTAAAAGTTGTAACAATATATATGAAAAATGACAGACTCTTAAAATATTTGTGTCTGAGCTAATTTAGAGAAGCATAGTTTTTGGATTTGCTATTTCAGGGTGGTCAATCGATCAGTGCAGTGAGAAGCTATATTTATTTATGTGAAATTAGATTTTAAAAATACAGCAAAATTGGGTTGCCTGGGTGGCTCAGTCAGTTGAGCCTCTGACTCTTGATTTTGGCTGAGGTCGTGATCCCAGGGTACTGGGACAGAGCCGCCGTGCGTTGGGCTCTGTGCTAAGCATGAAGCCTACCTGAGAAACTCTCTTTCTTCCTCTGCGTCTTTCTCCTGCTCACGCACACTCTCTCTAAAATGAAATTTAAGCAAATACAGCAAAATAGAAAGCTAAAGAAAAATATAGGAAAATATCATCGAACAAAAATACATCTGTATAAGTATCTCTGTTATGTAATCTCTTGTATGTCTCTTATATATAATGCTTGAATTTTGACTTGAAGCTTAAATCTTCATGAGGAGAAATAGATATAATTTTTTTCACTGAAAAAAAAGGGGGGGAAGGCAATACATTTTTAAAAGTTCAATTTCAGAGGTGCCTGGGTGGCTCAGTCAGTTAAGCATCTGACTCTTGTTTCTGGCTCAGGACATGATCTCATGGTTTCATGAGTCTGAGCCCTGTGTCAGGCTCTGTCTCAGCAGTGCAGAGCCTTTTGGGATTCTCTGTCTCCCTCTCTCTCTCTGCCCCCCCCCCACCCTATTCCAGCTGTCTCTATCTCTCTCAGGATAAATAAGTAAACTTTAAAAAATTTTTAAAGTTCAATTTCAAAATAAATCATTGACATTTTTTGAACTCAGTGGCTTTTAGGCTATTCAAAACATCTGCAAATATTACCACTTGAGAATATTTTCATTGTCCCAAAAAGCAACCCAGTACCAATTAGCAGTCCCTCCCCATATTTCCATACCAAGCCCTAGGATATTTGCCACTAGAAATTTGTAACCTGCTGTTTGTGCCAATAATTTGCCTATTTTTGACATTTCATATACATGGAATCATACAATATGTGGTCTTTTGTGATTGGCTTCTTTTACTTAGAGTGCTTTCAGGTTCACCCATATTGTACCACATGTCAGTAGTATGGGTATATCACATTTTGGTTTTCCATTAATTACTTGGTAGACATTTGGGTTGTTTCCACTTTTTGGCTACTATGAATAATGCTGCTATGAGTATTCGTGTACATTTTTTGAAATGTGTACATATTTTTAATTTTCTTCAGTATACCTAAGAGTGAAGTTGACAAGTCATAAGATATCTTTATATTTATCATTTTGAGGGGATGCCAAAGTGTTTTCTAAACTGGTTGCACCATTTTATATTTCCATCCGCCATGAGTGACCGTTCTAATCATTCCACAACTTTACCACCACTTGTTATTGTCTGTCCTTTTGACTATAGTCAACCTAGTGGATGTGAAGTAGTACATTTTTGTGGGTTTTTTAAATGTTTATTTATTTTTGAGAAAGAGAGAGAGCATGAATGTGAGTGGGGGAGGGGCAGGGAACAAGGGAGACAAAGAATCTGAAGCAGGCTCCAGGTTTTGAACTGTCAGCACAGACCTTGACACAGGCCTCAAATCTATGAACTGTGAGATCATGACCTGAGCCAAAGTTGGACACTCAACCAACTGAGCCACCCAGGTGCACCAAATTTTTGTTTTTTTTAATTTACATTTCCCCAATGACTAATGATACTGGTTATCTTTTCACGTGTTTGTTGTCCACTGTGTATCTTCTTTGATGAATTTTCTATTTAAATTCTTCCCTATTTTAAATTCTTTAATTTTTAGGGGCGACTGGGTGGCTCAGTCAGTTAAGCGGCCAACTTCAGCTCAGGTCATGATCTCACGGTCCGTGAGTTCAAGCCCCGCGTCGGGCTCTGTGCTGACAGCTCAGAGCCTGAAGCCCGTTTCAGATTCTGTGTCTCCCTCTCTCTCTGACCCTCCCCTGCTCATGCTCTGTCTCTCTCTGTCTCAAAAATAAATAAACGTTTAAAAAAATTTTTAAATAAATAAATAAATTCTTTAATTTTTATTATTGAGTTTAAGCATAAGTTACATATTTGAATGTCAGTCTCTTTTCAGCTATATGATATACAAATATACCATTCCATTCTCTGAGATGTATTTTTTTAATTGTTTTCATTGACATTTTCTCTCTCTTTCATCAGTCCAGCTAAAAGGTTGTCAATTTTGTTGATCTTTTGAAAGAAATTTTAATTTTCTTAATCTTCTTTATATTTTCCTTTCCTTATTTGACTTGTCCACTGTAATCATTATTATTTCCTTCCTCTGTTTGCTTTGTGTTTATCATGATTTTCTTTTTCTAGTTTTGTAGAGAGAAGAGTTAGTTTAGTGATTTGAATACTTTCATCTTTTTAGTATAGGCTTTCACAGTTATAAATTTCTCTCTAAGCACTGCTATGAGTTTTGTTATTTTATGCATCCTGTAAGCTTCTTATTCTCTCTATGCGTAGAATATTTTTTTATATATCTGTCTGCATATGTCCAGGGAACATTTCCTAATAGAGAATCATGGCTAGGGAAAACAACTGTTATTTAATTATAATGAACTTTAGGCTTTATGTGGGTGGGTTAAGTGCAATTTGCAAACTACTCAAATAGATGGTTCTACACTCCAACAAAATCAGAAATGCAAGAAGATGAGGCAGGTTAGGAAGCAATTGATGAGTTTGGTTATTAAGATGTTAAGCAAGTACAACTAGAACAGGATATATACATCTAAGCTCGGAGGAGATCTGAATAACTGGGATGGCAATTATCAGTGCATGTCAAATTGTGGAAATGGAATATAATACCGTGGAAAATGGGTAGACAGATATATTTACAGGGTAAGTGGAGAAATGGAACCTGGAAATGAGCAGATGGTGGGGTAAAATATACCTTGAGAGCCTCATTAATTTCTAGCAAAAATAAATAAAATTTAAACATACATATATGCCATAGAAGTGCAAGATTTATAAGAAAAACATGAAAATATGAAACAATTCAAATTGGATGTGTACAGAATAAATAAGCAAAATAAAATAAAGGTGTTTGGAACTACATTTAATGGAAAATAAATGGAACTAAATTAAATAAACCAAGGAAATAAATTCTTATTTTCTAAAACTTTTAAGCTAAATACATCAAATATCACCAGAGGCTTTCTTGACTTTATATTTTAAATTTAGCATAATTCCTATATTGACTATTACTCATCACACACACACACACACACACACACACACACACACATACACACACATGAAATGTAGACTTCTTGCTAGATAAAAGATTTTACTGAGTTTGGATTTTTTCCCATTATTATTTTTCTTTTACTAAGAACGCGGGATTTATTTGTTTTGCTTTTTTTTTTCAATTTTAATACAGTAATATAAAATGACATTAGGAGACAACAACCAACAATGGACTATCATCTGTTAGGATACAGTGGAAAAAAAAAGAGGTTAAATATTTGTGGGGTATGTTTTGAAACATTTTTGAAAGAAGTAGGTAAGCAATACTTGCAACTCACTTTCATCTGAGATTTTTTTTTTTTCTGTCCTGCCTTAAACAGACCCTTAAAATTGGTCTGTTACACTAAAATGTGGAAAAATAAACAAGAACAAATAAAATGAGACCTACAAAATGAACCTCAACTAGTATGATGACTTATTGACCCTTTCTGTGTAATGACATGTAGGTTGAAATTTTTCTTTGTAATACATAGTATAATTTTTCCTTGAGATAAAAGATACTCAGATTAATCTCATCAAGTTTACACTGACACCACTGTTGATCTCATGAAGTCATGTGACATTAAAATCCTCTTTCTTACTTGAATAAATTGAGAAGTGGTAATCTGGCTTTCTTGAGGTAGTCCCCTTTTGCTGCTGTTCTAAAATTGTTGAGATTACAATGATATATGCACTTCATAGAAGGACAACAATTCTAGCAATTATTAAAAAGTATTCACATATAATAATTCTTACAAAATAACTCAACTACACTATTTTGTGCTGTCAAAGCTTATTTACAGAGCAGTCTTGGGCACATAGAAATACATTTAAGGTGTGTTGGTAAAAGTTTAACCACCAGCTGGCAAGGTGGGGGGGGGATAAAAAAAAAAACTAATAGCATTTGCCTATTTTTGTTATATGCACAATTGACTCTTCTGAGCTAGTACATGCAGGCAGCAGCAAACCACTAAACAAGATTAAGACATTTTTATGAAATTATCTCTTCTTCATTAGTAATGGAAGGTGGGATATGATAAAATCCCTTCTCTAATGTCACAGAGAAGAATAAGTTCAAGTGTACGTCACTCTTATCTAAGAATTATGTCATGCACTTCCTGTATATGCTCAACAACAGTGTTTAGCAAATTAGCTCATGGCCATAACTGGCCCTCCACCTCTTTTATGTCAGCTCCTAAGGAAAGACTGTGTCAT